GAGTTGGAGGTTGCTGTGAGCTGTGACGCCATGCCTCTCTACCGAGGGCAATAAAGTGAGATTGTCTCTAAAAAAGAAAAAAAATTATATATTCTTATATTTTGATAGAAAATAATTTCTCCCATTGCATTTTGCCTTTTTCATTTTCTGAACAGTAACTTTTGACAAACAAGTTTTTAATTTTGGTAAAGTCTAATCTGGCAACTTTTCCCTTTATAATTTGTGCTTTTTACATTTTCTCTAAAGAAGTGTTGATTAACCCAAGGTCAAAAAGATATTCTAGGCTCAGCACCTGTGGCTCAAGCAGCTAAGGTGCCAACCACATAAACCAGAGCTGGTGGGTTCAAATCCAGCCTGGGCTCGCCAAACAACAATGATGGCTACAACCAAAAGAGTGGGGCACTATGGCTGGTGCCTGTAGTCCCAGCTACTTGGGAGGCAGAGGCAGAAGAATTGCTTAAGCCCAGGAGTTGGAGGTTGCTGTGAGCTGTGATGTCATAGTACTCTACCCAGGGCGACAGCTTGAGGCTCTGTCTCAAAAAAAAAGATATTCTATATTTTATCTAAAAGCTTTATGATTTTAAATTTGTCTAACTCTCCAATCTAGCTTAAGTTGACTTTTATGTGCAATACAGAGATTGAGGTTAAATTTTTTAATGTTTATCCAGTTATTTCTGTATCATTTATTGAAAAGACTTTTTTCCCCTTCTTCCACTGAAATGCCTTGACATCTTTGTAAAAACAAAAAACCTACCACATACATGTGGATCTATTTCTGGATTCCCTGTTGTATTCCACCCCTGGATTTGTCTCTCCCCAAGCCAACTGTCCTGATTATTGCAGCCTTACAGAAAGTTTTAAAATCAGGCAGCACAAGTCTTCCTGCTCTGTTACTCTGTTTCATAGTTCTCTGGCAACTTTTCGGTCACTTATCTGAACAAAGTGACCAAGTTATTTTAGTCTATCCCAACATTCTACTCCCTGGAACTCTTGTGGCTCATTTCCATCAGTTGTGTTTTCTGCTGGCCCTTTTCATGTGATTCTGTCTCCTCATAGGCCTGCTTATTTCTGACTTTGTGTCAAACACCGCATTAGAAAATAAGCACTTGTAAGTAGCTTCTCCCAAGCAGCATTCCATTACTCTGCCAGGCCCTGTGGGCACCAAAAATGTGGGACTGCCTATTTCAGGGACTGATGTCTTCCAGGCCACCCAGATGACCTAGCTAGGGGCATTTCTCGTGAGCACTTCCAGTTCACCCTTACTCCCAAAGTACAGGCTGTCCCATTCCAAACTGAAGTGTCCCCCACCCTGGAGACCTGGCAGTCCTCTGCCTATAAAAGGCTGTCAAAAGAATTGGCAAATGCCTCCCAGGTTCACCTCTTTTGGGTCTTTTAAAAAAATGTATCCAGTTTTTCTAGTTTTCCTATAGTACAATCGATCCAAATTACCTGCTTTACCACTTTTAAACACCATGCTCAGAAATTTTACCATATTTAAAATCCTCAAGCCTTCCAATGAAATGATATAGTATTAATTAAAACCACATTTTCTAATCTTAGTCAAGAGAGTTAATGGCCAGAAGAGTGTGAGGAAAATAAAAACAGACACAAAAGCAAAAGTATTTTTTAAGTAGCACTTAGCAGTTAGTTTAAATATTACTAAGCACTGGTGTTAGCTCCACATGATAGTCAAGTAAAGCGTTAATGATACTTTAATACTTTAGCAGCATCCGTAATAAACACTTTAATATGGAACTTGAATATTTACAAAATGCTTTCACAGTTAGCTGCCCTGTGAGATGTGAACAGTAGTATTATTATCTATGGTAAACTTGTCACCTTAGGTCACATTCTGCATACTCTAGATAAGAGGACACAAAATTATCTAATATATTTTGGGAAGATTCAAATTAAAAATCCTTAAAATACATTATGACACAATAGGATAATAGGCAGGAATTTAAAAATGTCCCTTGAGCTTTTAGATAATGACTAAGAAATACTAGTGTTTTCATAAGAAACACTCATTTCCACAATTTCCCATTTGGGGGAGATTTTAGCAGAAGGGATAATGTATTCATCTAGGCTTTCCTAAGTAAAAAGAACACAATGAACTATGCTGTTATCATTGTCATAATGATACATTACTGGTTTGGTTCTACAAAGCCACCAGGAATATGGGAAGATATTACAGGCAGCCCCCAATTTATAAAGATCTGACTTCTATTTTTTCAACTTTACAGTGGGCTTATTGGGGTATTAAATGCATTTTCAACTTATGACAGGTTTATCAGGATGTAACATCATATGTTCATTTTGGCAGCACTTAAAATAAAATGCAAAGATGTAAACCTATCACAAGTTGAGAGGCATCTGTATTAGAAATAGTCTTATAAAGTTTATCATTTAAAGAGACAAGGCTGATAAATACAGATTCATTAGTTAACTGTAAAAAATAAGTGCCATTTTTCTTTTCCCTTGGTTGCTACAAGTAACTGGCTTAAGAATATGTAAAGATATTGTAAGGATTTATGTTCTCTTCAGCAGGTAAAAATATGCTATCCTAAGTTTTCAAGACTGAAACATCAGAAATTACAGTAAGTCAGAAATAATAGCAAGTAGAACATGTTGGCTTTTATACCACTGCATGAAATATAGTCATGCATTGCTTAAGGATGGGGATGCATCCTGATAAACACATTGTTCTGCGATTTTGTACTGCGTGAACATTAGCGTGAACTTACACAAACCCAAATGACACAGCGTGCTACACACCTGGGCCCTATGTAGCCTATGGTTCCCAGGCTGTGAATCTGTATAGCATGTAACCACACGGAATACTGTGGGCAACTGTGACACAATCGTAAACACTGTGCATCTAAACATACAAAGGTACAGTAGAAATAGGGTAGAAATGATAGAAAAGGCACTTCTGCATAAGGCACTTATCACACATGGAGCCGGGAGGACTACAAGTTGCCCTGGTGAGTCTGTGAGTGAGTAGTAATGAGTGTGAAGGCTGAGGACGTCACTGTAGACTTCATAAACACTGTACACTTAGGCTACACTAAATCTATTAAAAAACATTTTTCTTTCTTCAATAATAAATTAACCTTAGCTTACTGCAGTTTTTTATTTTTTAAATTCTTAGTTTTTAAAACTCATTTGTAATAACATCTAGCTTAAAACACAAACATATTGGCTGTACAAATATTTTTTCTTTCTCTCTTATTCTATACACTTTTTTATTTTAAAATATTTTTATTTTTTAAACTTGTTCATTAAAAACTATGACACAAACAAACATGCACACAGCCTAGGCCTACACAGGATGAGGATTATCACTATCACTGCTTTCCACCTGCACATCTTGTCCCACCGGAAGGTCTTCAGGGGCAACGACACACACGAAGCTGCCATCTCTTGTGATAACAGGGCCTTCTCCTGGACACCTCCTGGAGGAACTGCCTGGTGCTGTTTTACCATTAACATTTTTTTATAGTAGGAAGTGTACATTCTACAATAAGGTTAAAAGTAGAGTGTAATACAAACATAAACTGGTACCATAGTCATTTATTATCAAGTATTATATAACATGCGTAGCTGTATGTGCTAGACTTGGATGGGACTGGCAGCACAGATCTGTTGACACCAGCATCCGTGAATAATGCGTGGTGCCATGATGTAGTGACAGCTGCGACGTTACTAGGTGACAGGAATGTTTAAGTCCATTATAACCTTATGGGACCACTGTCACACGTGTGTTCTGCTGCTGACTGGCACGTCACTGTGCAGGGCCTGGCGTGGCTCAGTGAGCTTAGTGACTACAGGACAGCTGCAGAAGGTGCTTTCCTTCACTTTTATGACTTATCTGACAAGTGAGAAATATCTTAAGTTATTAATGCAGCTTTTATCCCAACCCTGTAGGTAGAATAGAGAAATGTTACAAGCAAAAACCAAAATGACACTTTTATTAATGCTTAATACAGTAACGTAACAAATCCTACATTTAGCATACAGTATTATGAAATAATTTGAATGGCTGAAAAAAATCTGGTATTTACTGTGAATTCAAAATTGGAAGAAAAAAATTAAAAATAAGAAAATGAGTTACTTAAGAGATTACTATGAATAAAAATTAAAATGTGAAATGAAAAAAAACTTTAAGATGGAATGTGAAAGGAATTCAAAGGCTTAATAGTGCAGATGCCTAAGAGATCTGAAAGACATGCGAAGAAAATAAAGAGATATGAAATTAATATTACTAGGTTGCTGAAAAATAAGTGATGGTGAAAGTATCTTTCTTTGTGATAAATTTAAACTGATAGCAATTTACTTACCCAAGCTCTGTCATGCCATCTACAAATTCCTTTTTGCTAAATTCACATTGAGTTGCTGCCCTGAATTTCCACGCTATGACCAAAACGCTGATACTGGCAGGGTCCAGGCTTAAATCATCACAAAACTGTTGGATCCCATCAATTCCAATTTTGTTTTCATCTTGTGGGTCTGTAATTAAAATTAGAGAAAAAGAAGTTATACTGTTTTGAAAAGTAATCTTAATGTAAGCAGCTAGACTCAAAACACTCTACCACACTGTTCAGAGGAGTGTTTCAAATGTATTGATCAATGATGGCAATTTTCTTTTTTTTTTTTTTTTTTGAGACAGAGCCTCAAGCTGTCCCCCTAGGTAGAGTGTCCCAGGAAGATATAACTGACCCTGGTCTGGCAAGGCTAGTAAAGAAAGGAACTACCAAAGGTGGCAACTTTTTTTTTTTTTTTTTTTTTGAG